AGTCTTTTGTATGACTTGACCCTGGAGAGAACCCACGACCTCCCGCATCCGAGGCGGACGCTCTAACCACTAGGCCACCGGAACGATTCCCTGCAAGAGAAGCAGTCTAGCGAATTATTATATGCCTAATACATATATCCACGTTAATTGTTACGTTTCTCGCTGGCCACGACAAGATTCCCATAAGTTATAGCGTATTAATCAACTTTCAAAATTCATATCGTTACAATATGTGTATCGTTACCCACAGCGTGCAGCGAAGCAAGTTAGTATTTTAACATCAGTGATATTCTGAAATATTCCTGTCGATATTCTTGTCTTTGTCGTCCTCGATATTGAACATCAACAATGTCACATCCTCCAGTTCGCGAGTAAGTTGGAATATTTTTAGGCCTTGGTGTTTGTTGACTCATTACGATGGAACTTTCTTGCTAAATTTTCTGTAGTATACCATCAGTGTAGCATTTTATGTAGCTGCAAGTGCACATGTATGTGATATATGCAACGATGCATAAATTCATATTCTATATTTGTAAACCGAAAAATGTACAACTCCAGAGTCTTTGCATACTTAACAAATCACAAACGTTCCTCCAGTTTAATATACCCCTATTTCTTTGCTTCGCCATTCAATACATCTTATCTCAATCAAAGGTTGTATGGCTTTTTCTGTCATAAGAGAGAGAGAGAGAGAGAGAGAGAGAGAGAGAGAGAGAGAGAGAGAGAGAGAGAGAGAGAGAGAGAGAGAGAGAGAGAGAGAGAGAGAGAAAGCGCAATTACTTTTCAATGAAATGTAATGGTATATTACTACGTAGCCATGAATTTTGCTGCTACACAAATAGTAGAATGCATACGATTTTTAAAGATAAAGGTCTGAATTTCAGTCTAAATTTCTTACTGACAGCATTTTCACTCATTTACTACAAAATTGAAGGAAAATATTCCGTAGTATCATGCACATAAGCCCTTTCTAGGTTTCTTTACACTTGGAAAATTCAAAACGTTTTCGAAAGCTACCCAGTCTTACAGTACTATCATAAAGGATATAAAAGTAGATCTGCATTAGTGTCAAATAGTCGTGTGATGATTATGCAGTTCGCTTACGAATCAAATATTCATCGGTCACTCTGTTGTGTCATATTTGCATCCAAAAGGAACCAATAGGAGACCCTTATTTGTTATTATCATGGCGGATGTTGGCCGCTTGCCAATTATTTGATAGACTGTAATAACCTCTAACAGAATTTGAAATAAATGGTGGATATTGCAATACTTATCGCAAGGCATTCAAATGAGTCAGTTTATGCAAAAGTAAGTAGGATGTCATTTGTATGGCAATATGATATTGTTTACTTAATAATCATGTCGGTAACATATTTTATAAATATCTAAATCCCAAGATGGCTTGATGCTTAAATGCTTACCGTATATTTTCTCGTTTGAATTTCAACCTCATACGGGATTGACATTTAAGTAATTCAGATCATGCTTTTTTATTAGCCCTTTCATGAAATGGTATTTATTATAGCAGGAATAACTAGTCTAAATTTGATGGACCAGGCATTTTCTTTTGTGAACTATGTTACACTGGTGGAAAATCATCCAATGCAACAAAAAATACCAAAAAAACAAAACTAACAAAGATACATACTTTCTCGGATCCAGACGTCTCGTCAACTACAAAACATTTAAAGCCGGTGGAAAGATTTAGGTCTGATTACATTAGAAAATAGAATAAATAACAAAAACTTCAATAAAGCACCAAGTTCATAAAATAATCTCCGCCCTTGTTAAGTATTATATATATATATTGTAATAAAAGTAAGGAAATGCGCATTTAGTTTAAGCAATTTGTAGGTTTGTGTGATTACATGTTTGATTATTGGAATTCGGATATTTGGGAAATATTCCTTAGCACGAAATAATTAGTCCATTATTAGGAGCAAACATCACGGAGAGAAAGTGTTAGTGAGATGCCATAGCCAATGAGTAGCGAACTCAGACCCAATCCGCTTGATTGTCCCTTTCGTGATATAGTACTTTATAAAAACTAGTGGTGTACATCGGAATTGTGACTGCAGCGGCAGTATTTATGGTAGTAAACCGGTAAATTACACAATGGGAAAAATGAGAAAGGACTCGGTAGATACTGTTTATGTTGCCATAGTGGCAAATGTGATGTAGAATTTACTGGTGTGATTTGCCTTGAAACGGTAGATAGACTGGCCTCAGGTGGGCATTTATAATAGTCCCCCGTGTTAGGGATAGTTGTGCAGTTTCTACTGTGTGAATTACAAGCGGAACGGAAAGTTAATATAGAGAAACTGTGGGAATGTGCCGTTGATGGCCAATTTGCAAGTTGTAAATAATGTGGTCTTGTATTGATTCTTGTAAAATTTATTTATAAAATGGACACATCGGGCTTTCCAACTTACAACTGAAGTTGTATAGAAGTCTTTGGAAATACGGGGTAAAATTATGACTTCTAGCGTGATTCGAGCCCAGGGTTTTGACACCGCTCGGCGCTCGGACAAGCAAAAGACCCCTGGCTTGTAACACTCTATATATATATATATATATATATATATATATATATATATATATATATATATATATATATATATATATATATATATATATATATATATATATATATATATATATAATTGTCTCGTGTATTTGGTTTATTCAGTTTTATATTTATATTTGCAACTATCTAATAGTAAAATTGTTTACTGAACAACAGTTACTTGGTTTCAGTTAGGATGATCTCTGGCTCCACTATTATGAAAATATTTACTACTTATTGCAATTTTGACGAGGACTGTTTCCTACAATTAAATTACACAAACTTTAAAATAACTTTGAAATCACTAATATCATCTTTTTATACTATACAATGTTTTCGTCTCTTAAGGTTACACACTACAGTTTCTTACTCTACACAGGGTTTAATCCTTAAAAAAATATTTTTTCATGTTGTTCTCAGTGAATATCATGGATATTTAAAATACTTTATGTATATTCATTGATGATTATAATTTCAATTATAGAGAGTACAGCTTGGCCTTATTTTCAGATGTGAACCTGTCAAAAAACGTTTGATTCCGCTTGATTGTTGCGTCCTGTACTGCAGATGTAAATTGTACAAGAAACTGGGCGATACATTTTTTTCACTTTTTATATATTTTGTAATATGGACATATTATATTTCAAACTGGCATTGATTGCTATGGAAGATTAATTTACCTTATTATACTAACTGCTAAAGTCAGCAATCTTTGCAATAATTCGGTCTAGTAATTAGATCCCAAGGAACAGACATTTTCTTAAACTTTGTGCTTATATTATGATAGAAAAGTCTGGGATTGTTGTTTAGATGTTTTCTATCATAACTTTCTTCTCGTGTCTCGTTACGAGAAGGAAAAAAGTTCAGCATTCATAAGAATAAGGTGTCACTTATGATGGTGTAGATACGGTTACATCTTTTTGTGGGAAAGCTTTGGCTACGAGAAGGTACCAAGAATCTATAAGAAATAGACATGACACTCTTCTTGAGCCTGGAATCACACTGAGACCAAAGCAGCCCAAAACCTTTTTTATATTCTAGAGGCTGCCTGATCACGAGTGTTTCATCCAAGGTCAAAAAGATGTCTGTCTAAAAATCACGCGTGCTTCTTGCGTGCTAGTCAAGGACAGCTTTAACTTTATATCAAGTTTTGTTTGGGGGGGAGATAGAGTGTGAGTGTGTGGACAGTATTTTTCCGAAGTAGCGACCTTTTGGATCATACATTGTCCATAACCTTCCAGTAGTAAGTGGCCATTCACATTGTTAACTTAATTAATTTAATTAATTCCCTAGGGTGATTATCAATTACTTTGTTCCCAACATCACAACGCAATTTAATAAGGTTTTATTGACCGAACTGCGAAATAGCATGCCACTCGCAGCTTTATCTGTTGTTTGAACTATCGAACTCGGCTATTAGATTTTTCCATTACCAAGTAAAAGCTGAACAATAATAAATGCTTAATCTATATTCATTTCAATGTGCTTATTATATTCAGGATATGAATTTTTGATTAAGCCACGCTTCTTCTACAATCCAAATCGATATCAAAGCACTAACTTAAATTTGGATGCTTTTGTCTTCCAATAACTAGAGATTTCAATATGTTGTACACAAATTAATATTTTCGTTTCTTTCTTTTAAAATTGATATCTTAATAATGCCTTTTGGTTAAATTAGCCGAGATCTCGAGGCTAGTAAAAACAAATTGATAAGTATACGAGGAAGAAGAAAGAAAAGATATTAAAAATCAAAAATTACAATGCTTATGTAGATGAAAAAAATTACAATGCATTGATAAATTGATAAATTGCAAAAAGGCAATGAGAACAATGTTCATTGCAGCACATATTGTGAAATTCAAAAAAGAATACAATAAAATGTATAATAATCAATAAAATGTAAGGTACGTTGACAATGCACCAAAATAGATATGATAAAAGATACATAGAAAAATGTACCATAAAATGTGTAATAAGGAGCCAATATAAATTGAAAAAGTGATTACAATTACACAAGGAAGTAAAAATATTAAAAAGACCAAAATAGAATGCACTGACAAAAGTTAAGAAATAGGAAAAACAATTTACCGTGTAGTACCTCGATGAGGAATGAAGAAAAACAATATATTAAGAAAACATTAAAATATGCAATGTGACAGGATAATACGTAATGTGACATCTGTATGGTAAAGAAAGAGTTTATTCAAGGCAATCTTACAAAAACACATTTGACACATTCAATGAAATTCACGTACAATAGTGAGTTCTGCAATGAAACAAAATATGTTTCCTTTATGTTATTTTTATTTGTTTTGTTTTTTATATATTATTTTGTTTTTTATACGTTAGTTTACTCTTTTTGTTATTATTTTATTATTATTTCTATTTCATTTTAAATAGCGTCAGCAGAACATAATTAAGATTGCTGTGTAAGCTCTAGGTTAATCGATGAAGTCAGTAACTTCTGTTAATTTATCTGAACAATTATATTTCCGTCATATGTCAT